CGTGAATGAGGCCTACTAATGGTAAGACTGACTTTTACTCATATATATATATATATATATATATATATATATATATATATATATATATATATATATATATATATATATATATATATAATGTTAGACTTTTAATGTTATATATAGTATAGTGTGCATTTTATACTTTTAAAATACTATGTGGTTAACTTTAACAATTACACTTTTAATTCAATTAAATGGTTAACCTAAACTTTTATGGATTTATTAAATCTCTTTTAATTATACTCCTTAATTAATTAATAAAACCATAAGGGTGTATTTGAACTTTTCAAAACATTACTAGGGTTTTAGAATTTAACATTCCTAATTAACTTTTAATCAACTTTTAAATTCCAAAACTTGAGGGCAAGTTTTGAAACCTTTTTCAAAACATTAGGGTTTTAACTATTTAAATTTTAAAACTTCAAAACTTTTGGGTTCAAATTTAAACTATAAAACCTAAAGGGGAAAATATGAAACTTTTCATAACAACAAGGATCAAATAACAAATAATTTTAAATTAACATTTAATCACATAATTATCCATATTTGATTTATTTAATGATTTCTTGCAAAACAATTTATCAATTTACTCAAAATAATTAATCAATTATCTTATAAGGAAACAATTATCTTATTAATTGATAAATATCTTCAATTAGATCAAAAATATAGTCAAATATATCATATAATCGGATTAATATTGATCTAACATGATAAGGTAACTATCCATATGAAAAAACAGCAAGAAATCCCGAGATAAGCATTATCTAACGAGTTGACTCGTTGAGTCAATCCTGGACTCGGCGAGTTCAGCTATGGACTCGGCGATTCCACCCTCTAAATCATCAAAAATCAAATTTTTTAGATATACAATGCATGAATACAATTGAAACCATCCTAGGCTCTGATACCACTGATGGGTTTTGGTCATAAGACATCCTATGTGCTCATACAAACCCTAATGCTTGGATCTAGGTTTCTCTATTGTACATGCTTTGAATCCAAGACTATAAACCCTAATTCTAGTATATGGAAATTGATATTAACATATAATTAGGTTTAAGATATTACCTTGATTGTTATGTAGCAATAACAATCCTAATTCCTCCTTGAATTGACTTTGGAATGCTTAGAGTCACAAGTGTCACTCCTCTAATGGCTTACAAACACCAAGAGCAAATGGAGAAGGTATAAAGAGAGAGGAGAGAGGTTAGAATTCGTCTCTAGGACCTCTTGGGAAGGGATACACGAATTCAGCCTTAGGGCCTTTATATAGGTGTAGAGATAGGGTTTCAGTCATTATCCTTATCTAGTTGCTTATCCACAAAGCAACCCATAAGATAATCCTTGAATCCTTATCATAGTCGAATTCTAAGGCATTATCTCCTTAAATTCGTTCACCCTATATATAAGATAATCCTTACCTTATTTTGTAACTATCATATAATTACAAATCAGCCCCTCTAGTTTAATTAATTACACTTGATCACAAAATTAATTCCTAATTAATTATTGACCAATATTAATTAAACAAATATGATTTCTCCTTTAATATATTATTCTTACAACATATTAATAAATCATATTATCCTCTCTCTCTCTACATATTTCTCCAATCAAGTTGCTTTGGTGAAGGCAGCCCAAAAGGACCATGCACCATCGGGTCAAGTACATACCAAAATAGTTATGGACTTAGACACTAATCCAACAACACTCAACAATAAAAGGTACACTTTGGTTATTGTTGATGACTTTTCACGGTTTACTTGGGTTTATTTTCTCAGGTTAAAATCTAACGTAACTCAAACAATGATTGATTTCATCAAACATATTAAGACAAGTTTGAAGAAGAAAGTTCAAGAGATTAAAAGTGATCATGGATCGGAATTTAAGAACAATGTTCTAGATTCGTTCCTAATTGATAAAGGGATTTCACATAACTTTTATTCACCATATACACCTCAGCAGAATGGTGGTGTCGAAAGGAGAAATCGTTCTCTTTGCGAAGCAGCAAGAATGACGCTCATATATGCGAATCTTCCTCAATATCTTTGGGCAGAAGCAGTTTCAAATGCATGTTTTACGTAAAACCGATATTTCATTCATCATCGATTCAACATTACCCCTCATGAAATAATAAATAACTGAAATCCTAGTGTCAAATTCTTTCATGTTTTTGATTTCAGGTGTTTTATTATGTATCTCAACGATAATCTTTCAAAATTTTAGTGAAAAGCTGACGAGGAATTTTCTTGGGTTATTCTCATAATTCCATTGCATATCGGGTGTTGAACAAAAGAACTCGAAAAATTGAAGAAACTTTTAATATTACTTACGATGATTTTTACGTGAAACAATTCGAAAAATGTTTTGAAGAAAAACCAATCATTAATGAATCAAATGAAGTATCTGAAAGTCTTGATTCGATAGATTTTGATTATAATTTAATTTTTGGTGTTCCTGATAGGGCAGTTGATGCAGAAGTGAATGATGTTGATAATCGTGTGTCTAAAGCATCGAAACATATGGATGATTCCACTCTTACACCAGATAACAATGATTTGTTGTCTTCAACTAATTCTTCTCTAAATAACGAAAGTCTGCCAGAAATGACGAAAGTTCAAGTTGAGGGGGAGCATACTTTCGAGGGGGAGAGAGAAAGAATGCATGTTGATGTTGAGAGGGAGCATCAAAATGTTAATCTAATTTTTGAGGGGGAGCAAGTTGGAAATAATGAAAATGTTTTGAATGATCAAACTGATGCTTTTCATGATATTAATGATAATTTTTCGAATGCAGGTGATGGACCTGAAAATGAAGAAATGTTCGAAGATGCGTCATTAGATTTTGATCTAGCATATCCTCCAATGGATAAATGGATTAAAAGGCATCCTAAAGAACAAGTTTTAGGTGATCCACATGAAGGAGTGCTTACAAGAGCTCAATTGCATGCAAAGAATGAGGTAGTTAATGTAAATCAAGAATTTTGCATGTTCAATGTTTTTATTTCGAAAATTGAACCTTAATTAGTTAAAGATACTATGGAACTTCCTGATTGGGTTGTTTCTATGCAATCTGAACTAGTTGAATTTGAAATAAACAATGTATGGAGATTAATTCCCAAACCAAAAGATGTTTCTATTGTGGGTTTAAAATGGATCTTTAAAAATAAAACCAATAAAGATTGTAATATTGTACAAAACAAAGTTAGGCTTGTATTTAAAGGTTATTCGCAACAAGAAGGTATAGACTATGAGGAAACTTTCTCCCCTGTCGCAAGACTCGACGTTGTTCAAATATTTTTAGCCTATGCACCGCACAAGGACTTTGATGTCTATCAGATGGGTGTAAAGTGTGCATTTTTAGATGTTGAACTCGAAGAGATTGTGTATGTAGAACAACCTCCAGGTTTTTTTTAATGTAGAATATCCTAATCATTGTTATATCTTAGATAAAGTTGTTTATCGGTTAAAACAAGCACCACGAGTCTGGTATGCAACTCTTACCAACTTTTTGAAGCTTTCGAAATTTAAACAAGGATCAGTTGATCCCACCCGTTTTCGAAAGAAAGTTGGGAATCATCTAATGCTTGTTCAAATTTATGTTGATGATATTATTTTTGGATCTACTGACCATGCTTTGTCAAGAGATTTCGAAAACTCTTGACAAAGCTTCGACATAATGCTTAGCACAGAATCACGGATGATGTCTATTGTTGCTCTAAGGGAAGGTGTAACGTCCGTGATTCTGTGCTAAGTATTAGTAGATATTGTAATAGTCTAGGTCAACCAATGTAACTCATTTTGAAATAATAAAGATGAATTATTTGAGTATTACGTGAATATTATGTGAAATTTAAAATTTTATGTGCTTAAAATACTTGCTTATAATAATACAATAAATAAGGATAAAAATAAGCGTCAAAATACCCGATATCGATACATGAAGTAGTAGTGGTCGTGACAATGATTTCGGGCATATAAAGAATGCCGAAATCCGAGTTATAACAAAGAAGTTATGACCTGTCGAAGTTTTGCGACAGACCTCAAGAACTAAGAAAGAGATTCGACCAACTAAATGATATGAAAAATGATGATTTTTTGAACTAAAAATGGCAAAATTACCCATGGTGAGTTGAGCAATTATGGAAGATATGTATGAATATAAATTAGCACCTTTGTTGATTTTTTATTAAAGTTTTATTTTCAGGATAAGTGTGCAGAAGAGGGTGTTTTAAAGTATATAGTTTGTTATATTATGTATAGTGATGTTAAAAGTTTTGAGTTTTGAGATCATTGTATATTTGTTCTGAATCAACTTTCACAACATGGAATAACATATGAATGAATAAAGTTTCTATCTGTACAAATAAATAATGCTTCTTTTTTGGATAGAATGTAAGATTTGAATAAGAGCAAATAATAACGAGACTGTAATAATCAAATGTTGAAGGTCAACTGAAGAATTCTCTGCAAAGGATTGGGACTAGAAAACCAGTTTAATATAATCAATTCAATGTAACTCAATAAAATTTTCCTGTTTTGTTAATTTCTTTGACGCAACCCGCAAAGTAGAAATTTTTCCCTAATTTATTATTATTTTTTGCTAAATCATTAAGAATTTTGTCTATTTGTAATTTTCTCCTTAATTTATGCAACAAAGTAACTAATTACCAAACAATGTAATCATGTTTATTTTGTTATCAACACTAATTAATTTATGCATCAAACTAAATTTCTTATCCATTTATACAAGAAAATCAACTTCGATACAATTTCTAAGTTCTAACAAATACATATAACTTGGTCGCATAAGTGAATAATTAAATCCCTAACTATAACATTTTATATACAATAATAACCTTTATAAGATTTCTTTATACACCCAATACGCATTTAAAAACACAAAAATATAACTTACTTTTGTAACAAAATATTCCTTATACAATTAAAATAGGCATCCAAATTTTTTCAAGGTCCTTAACAACAAGTCTTTGTGCTACATACTTCAACATAACCTATAAGAAACGATCAACTAAAAACTAAAAAACTTAATCTCAACATCAAGAAAGCACTCAAGATACTGCAAGTTGTTGAGGCTCAAAGATCAGTTTTATGACTTGAAGAAATACCAAGAAGCTCAGCTAGTTCTCCACTTTCATAAGCTTCAATAGTATCTGTAGTAACCAAAATCACAAACATTTATTAGACCACATTCTATAGGGGCATTACAGACATTTCAAATATAAATATGAATATGAATTTACCATCTGAACCTCCAAGATGTTTCCCGTTAATGAACACTTGTGGAACAGTACGCCTCCCAACAAGCTCACCCAGAGCATTCTGAATTTTCGCTCCATCCTCTGCAAAACAAGAAAGGATCTTGTTAAAGAAATTCTATAAATCGCGTAAAAATTCTCATGTTTGATTTGTTATATTAGTTTAAACAGAAAAAGTATATGAATTTGGAGACCGAATCAATGTAGGAAACATAAATGTTGCAAAGAATGTAAGATTAAAGAGCACAAACAGTTAGCCATAATTGTATGATTCATGATGATGGTCTAAATTGTAGGTTAAAGAAGTCAATCTATGGGATTAAACAAATTTAATAGTTGGTGGTTTGGTGAGGTTACAAATGTCAAATATATTAGCCTAGCCTGTTTAGTTGATTGGATTTTCTTTTGGTAATAATGTCTAATAAAGATTGATTTGCTGCATGAAATCTGAGAATCTAATAGACTGATAAGTGATAATCTGTTAGACAACAATACCATTTTGATTTTTGACATATTACCTACCCATTTCAAGACTCAAGCATTATGCAAATTGGCATTATTTAAAGTTTTGAAATGTAGAATCGTATGAAATACTGACCTCTCTCATCCAGCTCAATGACATAAGGTTTCTTATTCAACTCCTTGAATACACCTTTAGCCCTTTTACAGTATCTGTTGAAAACAAGAAATAGCAAATGGTTAAACAAATTTACATAGACCAATAGACCATTTTAGTATTTGTAGTAGAAATGGATAAATGGAAGTGGTTTTTGGTTTAATACACCATCTATGTATAGTGAAGAGTTCATATTCCAGTAGTAAATTAGGTTCACAGGAAGATGAAGATATCTAGCTATTGAAACATCTGCAATCACCTAAATTCCCACAAGTTCATGAAATTCTATCAATTAAAAGTGGTATGTATGCCAAATGATAAAATAATGACACAAAATTAGTTGATACGAGCCATGAGGATGTTATAACATGTTCGTATACGAAATTTATAGCCAAATAATCTATATAACTTATACGTTAAAGTAAGTTCAACTACAGAGAATAATTTCGATGAAAGTGGTTGGTTAAAGTACGCTGCGAACCTCAAACTACCAAACAGTTTATACAAATTATCGACAGAATAGGGGGTTCGATGTTTTCAAAATAAAGTTGCTAGTTGAGAGATTAACAGTGGATTTCCGAAACTCGGGAATAGAAATACGAAGATTCGGGTAGAAGATCGAGGTGTATGAAATATACATACGGGCAGTACGATTTGGAGAAGATGACTATGGGGTGAGAAGAGACGGTCTTCTTGACGAAATCGACGGATGATTCTTCTCCATTACACATATAGAAGGCGGTGATCGTTAACAGGATTATGCAAATGAAAGGTATGGTGGCGGATCTGGCCATTTTCGGCACCGGTTTTGCAGCGATTCCGATTGTTTGTTCAACTTCGGCCGTCAAATCGAGATCTGTTTGAATTTGGGCAAGGAAAAATAGACCGACTATTTAAGGATTTCTATCTTTGTGTTTGTTTTATGCTAAAAGTTATTATATTTTAATTATATATTTTAACCCTTTTGTTTTTGGAAAAAAAAAATGATAGATTAATTTAACCATTATATTTTATTTCGGTCGATTAAAATCGTCTTATTTTGACAAGAAATTTTCAATAGTGTAGCTATTGTAATCCTTTATTTCCGACTTACCACATACGATTAAATATGGCATAGTCTATCGATGAAAATGTTTAATGAATTAATGCCTTGAGAAGGGAAGGTTTGATGCGTTGGTCCGTCTAGGATTAGTCTGATTCCTTTAAGGCTTTAGATGTTTATTAGTTGGACACGTGTTTTGTCAAGATATCGTAATAAATGTTTTAAAAACCTATTCGAATCAGTTGGTCGAACCGGTTGGACCAAAAACTAAGGACAAGAGCGGTTCAACAACGACTGATTTTACATCAATTTCCAAACCGGATTGAACCGAATTTGTTTTTCAAACCTGGATTGAACCGTGTGTGATAGGACTAATAAAAAATCGTTTGAACGAGTTTATTGAACTTATATAGTTGAGTTTTCTAAGCGTGTTAAAAAAACATTGCATTTCCACAGCAAATTGAATATTTTCGAAGTGTAAATGACTCGAAGGCTGATATACGTCATTACCATTGCCATCGCCAAACTTTGGAAAAATCTTGGTTGAACATGTGATGGAACCGGTTGAACCGAGAATCGGTCACAAGACCATTTCAATTAAAAAACTAATTTTTAAAACATTACATTGTATCATTCTTCTTCTTCTTCATCTGATTTCCATACGAGCTTTAGTTGATCTAATATATTTGTCCTTAATTGGTTGTGTTTCTGGTGTTCGGTATGAATAGTCAAACATCCTATTTGACATGTATAAACATCCAAAACCTCATTAGGATTCCAACTATTTGTTCTGACCTCTTAAGAATTAGTATCGGTGAAATGTTGGTTCTTTTGTAAGACTTTGTTTTTGAACCAATTTGTTAACATTGTTTTTAAACCAATTTGTTAACATTGGTAATCCATATTTTTCTCTTTAAAATATAATTTGTGAAGAATTACATCGTTTTGTAAGGTCTAAAAGTCCAAATTTGATATTGTTATTTTTATGAGTTTTATTAAGTGATATTCAAAACATTATAATTGTTTGAACTTGTATAACTGATCAACCATCTCTAATACCGATTAATATTGAGATTATGATGGTGAATCATGTGATTGTAAAACCTCTCGATTTCAACTTTCAACTTTTGTTTTTTTAACTTTCAAGACATACTTTTTTTTATGAAATATTTGAATGTCCACGGGTTGCACGTATTAGAATATGTTCCTAAATTTTTGATAAATACATATTATTGAAAACTAGCATGTCATTAACATCAACTACTAAATAATAATTTTTACACTAAACTAATACATGAAATTATAACCATTTGTACTGTATTATGAGATAAACATCTATTATATTCATAAAACTCAATAACTTCAACTAACGAGTTACAAATAAATAAAATTAAATATAACTTTTAATTTAGTTTTACATTTTAGCTATTCTTATGATTAAAGAACTTAAAATTTATTTATCTGATCAATTTTTTAATCAAATTACTGATCGCCAATTCATGTGCACTTAAAAGAATATCGAATCAACTTTATAGCAATCAATGAAAAAAATCTAATTATGGTAAAAAAAAAAAAAAAAAAAAAAAAAAAAAAAAAAAAAAATGATTAAAAAAAACCCTATGATTTGGTTGTTTTTGACTTTTGTACGCTCCATTATATTCAGAAAATGGACGTGATTCATACCTGAAAAATACTCTCTTTCGTCAAATCCAATTAAAGCACACGGGTTTATCACGCAATCTTCCGTTCGTTTCCCGTGCTTTCACCCAAACCCCCAAATTTGAAGAACGCCCACCCGCCTTCTTCCTTCCTCAAGCTGCACTACGCCTGAAGCCTAATCAATTCAAGAATTTCCCCCATTAATCACCAATTTCAATGGCCTATGTAGATCATGCCTTTTCTATATCAGATGAAGACATCATGATGGACTCTGATTCTGCTTACACCGTACACAACCGACCTCCGGTCAAGGAGATCGCTCTCGCCATCTCGCTTCTTGTCTTCGGCATCGTCGGCATCATCTCTGGCATCTTCATGGCTATCAATCATGTTGGCGGCGACACGGGCCACGGTAACTCTCACTACCCAATAAATGTGTTTTATTTTGTTAATTGTTTGTGATTTTATCTTAAAAAATTGTGTTATGTGCTACGATTAGGTCTGTTTTTTGCGATATTGGGGGCGGTGTTGTTCATACCTGGGTTCTACTACACACGGATTGCTTACTACGCTTACAAGGGTTACAAAGGTTTTTCTTTTTCCAACATACCTCCTGTTTAGGTCTTAATCATATTGTACCTCTTTCAAATTCCAGTATGTAAATTTCGTTTCTCTCTTGTTTTTACACTTATTTGATGTTCGTTTTTTTGTATGAAATAAGAACATGGTTGTAATGGAAGCTATAGAGTTCTTTAATAGGAATGGTAAGTTTGATACTTGTGTATGTATTATCAGCTGCCATATCTGTGAAACTTGTCCTAAACTTATAAAAGATTGTGTCTTGCATAGTATTCTGTATGCATTGAAGGCTCTTGCTGTTGGAAGATTCATCATTTTGATGTATAACAGGTGATTAAAATTGTTAATTGGTTGCTATCCTGATGGTGACTATGCAATAACATTTGTCATGGTAGGTAGTTATTCAGTTTTTGTGTGGTTTACTCAACTGGGATTCTTATTTATGCTGAATCTTTATGAACTTAATGAAATTGATTTCTTATATCAATCACTAAATATGATACTAAATAAAAATCTTAAGTGATGCCAGTTTGCCATATTGTCACTTATATGAATAGGAGCACAGATTTGCTGCTAAATTTGATCCCTTTTTAGATATTGGCCATTCTTTATTTGTCTTTTAAGTTTTACCCCTACAGCAATTGAACTTGAAACACTGATTGATTTACCTACTTGCTTTTATGAGGCATAGGAGCATGTAACATGATTTATGTTTGGTTTGATTCTGAATTATAGTTTATTAAATATAACACTTGCTATTTGTTTCCATCTTTTAGCTGTATCTCAATACTTCCAGTTGAGTTTAAATATTGATGCATTTTAGTGTGATCTTATTTGTTTCTTTATTTTGCTTTTAGTCTCATTCCCAGTTTTATTTATTAAGAGGGTGAAACTGAAATCTTGTCTTGATATTTGATTTTAGGGTTGATGTCATAAATGATTAACTAACAATTATGTAAATGAAATGTTTCAGTTGATTATCTTCTTCTAATGGTACTTTAAAAAAGAATCATGTTTTGTAAAAAAAAACAATTAGTTAGTTGCCTATTTGTGACATCAACCCTTGATTTTATTTATCCTGACATAACATACGCATAGAATCCTAAGATTATATATTATATTTCATTTACTTGGTTTGGAAAAGTAAAATATTTCCAAAGTATCCTACTAAAGAGCTAAAAGTACAATCTTAAGTAGAATGCTAAGTTGCTAACTGTGGATATATGCCAAACTGCAACCAAAGGCCCGGTCGCCTATCTATTATCAAGTGTGTTAGAAACGTGTTTCCTAACCAATGGGTTATGTATTACATGAGTTACATCTCACCATAAGATTTAATGGTTACATGTGTATAAAAAACAATAGCTAAATATGTATAAAAAATATATTAGTAGTGCATATCATAACTCTGTGTATAAAAAAACTTAAATGACTAAATGTGTATACCAGATAAAGTTTATTATTCTTATAAGTCATTAATTTGTTTTATAATGTTTATATTCTCAAAATCGATGGATATTTGCGGACCAAATTTTGGAGAGCTTGTGTCTAGGAGTGCAAGGAGCGTGTGTTTAAGAGTGCAAACGAGCCAAACTCAGCTCGGGATTGTTTAAGTTATAAGGGGCTCGAGCTTGAGTTGGGCTCGATTTGAGCTTTATAGTATAGAGCTCGGCTCGAGCTTGTGAAGAATTATACAAGCTCACCTCAAGCTCGAGTTCGGCTCGTTTTTTGTCTATTGAGCATAAATAAGCTTAAGTTTGGTTCGAGCTTGTTAAGAAGTTCGTTTATTAATACCCTAAATCCTTAATATATTTTTATTTTAACATATAAAAAATAATTAATATTATATACAAACTCGTTTAGGCTCATGAGCCTAATCGAGCTTAGTGATACAGGCTCGAGCTCGAGCTTGTTTAATAAACGAGCTTAATATTAGGCTTGAACTTGGTTCAGGCTTGTTTAAAATCAGTATCGAGTTGAACTTTTAACGAATCGATCTCAAGTATCTCACGAATAGTTTGACTCGTTTGCATCCCTATTATGTCCATGCAACTTGGTGTATGTTTGTCTCACTTATGTAAATTGTGTCAATAATTTGAAAAATGGTGATCTATTCCACCTTAGATAGCATATAATCATATAAAAGCATGAGTTGGTTATCTTTTTAAAATATAAAAATGGTTATTTGGCAGCTTTAAGATATTTTAAAAAGTTAGTTTAAAAAAAAAATAGTAATAACCGAGTAGATATTCATACACTACTTCTGAATTCCATCTATATCCATTTTATTTTCTTGATTATCCGCCGTTACAAAGTACTAATAGTGTAATTTAATCAAATCATAAAATATAATATTTTTAATAAATATTCTTAAATTACTCTTGAATTTCATCTATTCTACATATGCTTTAGATGAAATTAAAACATTCAACCTCTTAGAGAATATACATCTCATAATATCGTTAAGCAAAAGGCGTATTGGTGTATGCTACAAGCTAAATGAAAATAATAATAATAATAATAATAAACCATAACTTCTATTTTGGGAGCTTTTTTTTTTTTTTGAACAAATCTAATTTAATTCTAAACTATATATATATATATATATATATATATATATATATATATATATATATATATATATATATATATATATATATATATATATATATATATAACTTAAATCTTTAACCTTAAAGAAGGAAGATAAAACCGATATCGTGAGTTAGAAACCCTTTGATCTCAAGTATAGTTATGAGCTCTCATAATTATATTTTTATTGTCTTTTCATATATTTTATTACTTTTAGATGACATGAAAACTTTGCTTTTTGTTATTTTGCAAATAAACTTAGTGAAAACTCTTTACCTTGTTATAGTGGACCTATGTTAAGGTTTTTAAGTTGTTATGGTGTCGATTATATGACATGATAAACTTTGGTATTATAGGTGCTCTAGTATATATTTAGATTAACTTTGTTATTTTGCAAATAAACTTAGTGAAAACTCTTTACTTTATTATATTGGACCTATGTTAAAGTTTTTAAGTTGCTACTTCATTATATTGGACCTATGTTAATGTTTTTAAGTTGTTATGGCGTCAATTAGATGACATGACAAACTTTAGTATTATGGGTGCTCTAATATATACTTAGATAATATTATGGGTGCTAATATGTACTTATATAATATATATTTAATACATGTTCAATCCAATACTAAAATTTAACTTTTACATCATTTTAGTAATACATCTTCTTTTTCTAGATCGGTTTCTTGTCTAGTTTTTACGCGAAAAATGATCAAGAACATGAGTAGAAGAATGAATAATGTTCCAATCCAATACTAAAATTTAACTTTCACATAATTTTAGTAATACCAAAATTGGGTATTGATAATAATATAACAACAAAATTTATGTTGTACTATTCCTTATTATAAATTTAGTAGTTCAAAATGGTCCTTTAATATATATATATATTAACAATCTAGTAAAACACATTTAAAATATATATTATTTTATTTTCTTATAATATAGTTGATACAATTATTGTAATAAAAATAGATAACTCAAGTTTGCATATAAAACTAATAAATATAAGCATTTTTTTTTTTTGAAAATTTAAAAAAGATGTAAAAATAAAAATATATATTTAGAATATTCTTTTTAGTCTTAAAAGTATGTATTGGGTCGGAAATGATTTAATATTCTTTTAGGAAAATATGTACCAAGGTCCCGAAACTCTGATCTTATTTGTGAAAAAATATATTTTTATTTTTTTAAGCAAAAAATGAAAAGAAATGGACAACAATTTACATAAAAGAACAAAAAACCGACAATAGTTTTCATGTTTAGGATTTTAGATGATAGTAGGTATTCTTTATAAAAGTCTATACATATTGACACAATTTTTTAATATAAAAGTACAAATAATATTATATTATTATAATATTATGGTATTTTTAGTATTTGGATGATAATATTATCTTTTTTGCAATCTTGTATTTTGTTTGTGTGAGAAAACTATTATCTTTTGGGAATTTCATTGTATTCTTTCTGATAGATGATATTATTTTACTTTATAATCTTATTGAACTGTTTATATCTGAAGTAATATATAATATTACTATATTTTTTATGTCTGACATATGTTCTTATTTTATTATATTATTTGAGTTTTACAAATGACATTATTTTGTTGTAATCTTATTGTATTATTTATGTTTGATAGAGGGTTATTTTATTCTAATCTTGATGATATTCTCTTTGTTTATATTATCTTATTATAATCTAGTTATATTCTTTTTGTTTAACATTCTCTTTATCTATCTAGCGGATGATACTCTCTTAATGTATGTTTTCTATCTCATAGAGAGTATTGTTTTATTGTAGTGTTACTGTATTTTTTTTGTCTAATGGAAGATATTATCTTACTCTAGTGTTACCGTATTCTATATATCTATGTCTGACATAAGTATTATGTTACCATATATTTATTGTAATTTTACTTTATTCTATATGCTTTAATAAATAACAAATGCATCCTAATGTAATCTAATTTATGTGGCGTCAAATATTATATTAGTATATTCATATTATAATTTTTTTTTTTGTTTTTTCTTTTATTCAAAAAAGTACATGATTTTATGGTTAATGTACCCACATTATAAAGAGTAAGACTTCTTAAATTACTTAAAACTTTAATTTTTTTGTTAAACAAGGGCATGATTCTGATTTTTTGTTTACAAAAAATAAGATCTTTATTTCTTTCATAAATAAGATTAACTTTTTGAGAATTTAAGATTGTTTTAATGCTTAATATTTAAAGACAAACATGTATTTTTTGTTTTTTTAAAACGAAAATATTTAAAGTTTGTGGATCAGATCTGAACTCTTTACATCAAAAAAAGTAGAACAAACAGTTGCAGCATATAATATAAAATTTATTTGTTTTTTTAATATTTGTAGGTTGCTGCAATAAATTGAAATTTAAATAAACTAATTTTGCAAACATAAAAATAGTTTCAAGTGATTTTTTTATTAAACATATTATATCCTTTCATTTAAATTATATTTAATTTTGTGGCTATTAACCAACTTGAATGAATTTAGGACAAATATATAAATCAATCTTACACTATTTTGTCTACATCACATTGAATAAAACCGATTCAAAA